GGGGGGGGGGGGGGGGGGGGGGGCCATTGCATGCTCCCCAGCAGACCTTGAAGTGGACTGGAAGTACTTCCAGTCCACTTTGTGGTTCGCCACTGAACACATGGAGGACCTCCCCACACTCTGGTGGGATGCTCCATCCACCCCAGCATTACAGCGATCACAAGCCGCACCTGCTATCTCAAGATATGTAGAAAAAACTTTTAAAGCTGTGCCTGTCCGAATCACTGATTCTCCAAATCACATCAAATCTCCAGATTTGGATTCAGCCGAATCGAGTTGGGGACTGTGATCCAAATCAACTAATTGAATCGCTGTCCCTGATTCAGGCCGAATCTGAATCGAATAGGGCCTGCTTCTCACACCCCTACCATATACCAGGAGCAGTCCTGCAGCAGAGCTCGTCCTTGTTTTTGTTTCTGTTCATGTTCTTCTAGGAACCCACAGCTTGTTATGGTGATGGGCATCCCAAAATGAACTAATGTCGTAATATATGTCTGCACTCCAGCCCAGTTTGTTCTGTGTGTCAGAATATACCTTTTTCCTTGGGGTGATGGGAAGGGAATTAGATAATCCTAAATCCTGTTGGGCATTAGATCACAGTAGAGAGCCATGAAAACACATACTGCACACTCATTTCCATTCCACGTACAGAAATCTGTAATGTAGCCACTCTAATGAGGAAACCTATGGTTGAGTGCCTAAATGTGGCACTGCACATTTTCATGGTCCATGCCAAAAAATAGGTATGGTCCTGTTTTTCAGCATTTGGCACGTATGGAGCAGGACTTCCTTGAAGGGAGAATTTTCCCATCCGTATTCCCTAGCATATCCTGACATAAAGCAGAAATGCCTCTGGAGCCATGCAACAGAATGTGGCCATTTAAGCTCCCTGTCTATAAAAATTGGATACAACCAAAAATAAGATCAGACATAGACTTCTGCTTTCCTCAGGCACTGCTTTAATAATGCAAGGATTTCTTTCCATCTCATTAAAATGAGAGGAAGCAAAGCAAACTATAGGCATGTTTTGTTGGTCCCCCTTCCTTCTGGATCTTACTGCTTCTCTCTTCATTCTTGCTCCAAACACAGGAACAGCTCCTCAAGTTTGGATTGACTGTATGGATTGAGACACACACAGCAGAATTCATCCTGGTGATGAATCTTCTCTTTTAATGACTAGAATTGGGAATGAGGTTGCCCTACAGCCAGACTGTGGACAGGAACACAGCACTAGAGGTTTCTACTGAATCTGCGTGCAGTCAGGTTTTGTGCAGGGCCCTGTGACTTTTTATGCATGTTCTATAATGAGATGTGTATATTTGAAAATTAATCTTGCATTTCTACTAACAGTCTCTATAAACCTAGCCTGATGCAGGGTGAATTAAAGCTGGTTGTAAAATGGGGATTTTTTTTTCCTTCAGAAAATTTGTCAAAAAGTAGAGGAAAATCTGGTTTCCATTTCAACAACTTTTGGTCAAAAAGGAAAACTGGAATGTTTTCAGTTAAAAACTGGTAGAACGGTTGGAGATGGGTATCTATAGATAGATATAGATCAGGGGTGGGCAAACTATGGTCCATGGGGCACAGGCCGGATTCAGCCTGCCAACTGATTGTATTCAGCCCATGTACAGGCGGCTGCAGTCATGGGATCTGGTCCATGGGGAGCTGGTAGCTCTGGCTACTGCATTGTGCAAGGCAGGCAGGCACATCTTGGTTCCATCTGCAGCTTACACCAGCTCCCCAGCCTGCACCAGAAGCAGCGCCACCATCAGCTGTGGATGCTGCCAGCAAGTTCCTGCTG